ATTGAGTCGAATGGCGTGATTCGAAAGCCCGGTTGTACGTGGCAAGGATTAGGGTCGCATGTCCAACCTCGTGGGTTTTCTCCGGGTCCTCCGGTTTCCTCCCACTGCTAAAGACCTCTACGCGCAAGCGAATTATGTAAATAAAAAATTAAACCATATGTTAGTCCCGAAATGACCTAGTTTGTGTCGAGTGGACGGTAAACCCCATTTCTCTCTCTCTCTCTTTCACCAAAGGGGGGGATCAAGTGGCTAAGTGGGTAAGACGCTGGCTCGCTAGCCTGGAGATCGGGTGTTCGATCCCTGTATTGGCCGAGAAAGTTCATCCTGATTTTCCGGCGTGGTTTCCCTTGTCAGTGATGCAGGACGGAGGGACTGACAGAGGGACAGCTGTCTAGTCGTTATGGGACGAAAAACCGAGGTCCCGTGTAGACATTGGCGTGCACGTAAAAGATCCCTTGGCAGTTGGAATTCGATATAAGAGTAGGCCGTAGCCCCGCTTCCCAGGCAAAATTTCCCTCATAGCACACTGTATGGCATATTCTCGTCTTCATTAGCCCAGGTTAGGAGCAGAACAGTAGGACGTTAAACCCCATTTCATTTCATTTCATTTCTTTCACCAAAGACCACATAAATACTTCATTTAGCACTTGTCATTTGAAACAGTTATAGCCTATGTCTTGTCTGGAAGAGGGGGCATCATCACATTACCATACAGGGTATAAGTCGATGTTGAGTATAAGTCAAATTGCCAAATTTTACATTTTTCCGACCTACTTCCATAATTAAGTAGAGGCGGTATATAAGACTAATGTTTTTCAACTCCATGAGTTTCGGGACTGTTATCCTAGTCTAATACCGTGCCGGTGTACGCCGAAGAAAAGTTGGGCCATATAAATAATGAGGGTCTGGGACAGTTGTCAATAACACTTGCATTTATAAACAAACATGAATCGTGATGACGAATTAGGATTCAATAAAAAAAACAACATAGATATGGCCCATGATGAGAGAAATTTTACAATAAAAAAAATTAAGAGTGTTGGATATTGAACTGACAATGCAATCAAATGGATTTTCGGAAATGGCATTCTTATATAAATTTCATGGGCGTCAACATCTTGTTTTAGGACTAGTTACCTCCCTTAGACTTTGTTTATGATAATGTAAAAGACCGGATAATCTAGCCTATGACCGATTATTCTCAAATGTTGACAACGCAACCACACTAATATTCGTAGAATATAGAATATTTTTTTCTAGATGATAGAGACTAATAATATGCCAACATTGAAATGTGTGCATAAATATGGTATATACTTAACTACACCAATATTATACATATGTCCACAAGCTAAAAACGCGATTTGTCATACAATAAGGGGCCATAATTCATGAAGTTACGGTCCGATATGGGCGAATATTGAAAGGAACCGAGATCTTTGTGTTATAAACTTACATTTCAAGTTTCAACAAAATCGGATAAAAATTGTGACCTTTATAGGGTCAACAACCTTGATATACCATATTTTTACGCTATTTGAGAACGAAGGGCGGCCATTTTGTCTGTCAGTTTTGGGCCGATTTTCACGAAATTCGAACTCAGCCGTCCTTAGGGTGTAACGGTGATATATTAACACGGTTTTTTAAATCGGATAAAAATTATGACCAAGCCAAAAAACGCGTTTTTGCGTACAATCAGGGGCCATAATTCATGAAGTTACGGTCCGATATGCGCGAATATCGAAAGGAACCGAGATCTTTGTGTTAGAAACTTACATTTCAAGTTTCAACAAAATCGGATAAAAATTGTGACCTCTATAGGGTCCACAACCTTGATATACCATATTTTTACGCTATTTGAGAACGAACGGCGGCCATTTTGTCTGTCAGTTTTGGGCCGATTTTCACGAAATTCGAACTCAACCGCCCTTAGGGTTTAATGGTGATATAATAATACGGTTTTTTAAATCGGATAAAAATTATGACCTCTATAGGGTCCACAAGCCAAAAAACGCGTTTGTACGTACAATCAGGGGCCATAATTCAGGAAGTTACGGTCACGATATGCGCGAATATCGAAAGGAACCAAGATCTTTGGGTTATAAACTTACATTTCAAGTTTCAACAAAATCGGATAAAAATTGTGACCTCTACGGTGTTCACAAGCCAAAAACGTGATTTTTCGTACAATCAGGGGCCACAATCCATGAAGTTATCTTAGAGTGATAAACCTATATTTCAAGTTTCATTGAAATCGGATAAAAATTGTGACCTGTAGACTGTTCACAAACAATTGTGGACGGACGGACGGACAGGGGCGACGACAATATACATCCACATGAAAATGTGGGCGTATAAAAACGTCAAGATTAATAAGTACCACGACAAACCACGTACTTAGTAAAACTGCAACACCAAAATTTAAAAATCGCGACAATAATTTTGTTGCTCACTAGCAATGGATTTTCTATTTCAACCAATTGTTGTTTTTATGTTCCAGGTACCTGTAGTTGATATTTCTGGAACAAATAGTGAAGGTAATTAATAATGTCTTAATGAAATAATCTGTCCATTACTATATTCAAATGCAAATACCTATGCAGGTTGTGATATGATAAATAGTCAAGGACACTTGACATGGTTTGAGAGTATGTTCACAGATGAAGAACTTATTGCCCCAACAGAACCACTGAGCTGCACGTGTGACACGCAATAGCGCCATACACGTGAGAGGGGTTCATTTTCAAAATTGACACTTCAAGGAAGTGTTGATGAAAACTGCCGCGTGCTGGCTTATCCTATCTATGTTTGCTTTCCTATCGGTTCTTGCATAAGATTTACTGTTTAGCGTATCTTTGCTTTAGTGTGTTTCGTTTAATTTGATCGGGAGACGTGTTCGTCGACGTCAATGTCAATCGACAACATTGCAAGAATTGGCCGTGGCACCGCAAGAGGAGTGGGTCAGATTTCCCCAAATCGTAATTGGACGGTTGGTTAGGAGCATGCCATGACCAAATTGTGGTGGAGCAATTAATCATTATTAAGACAAAAATCAAAAACGTCTATTTCAACTTTTGACAGTGTGTCTCTTTCGGAGTGAAATAGGGCCGTCAAATAAACCGCCCATATGAACTGTTTATGTTCATGTGTAGGCAATTGGCCTGTTATTAACATACACTGGTTACCTCTAATAAAACAGCAGTGCATTTCCGCAGTTTCTGAATATCCCCTACTATTGTTGAAGAGTATATTTCATTAAATATAGAATAAATTAGAGTTACTGCCCCTTGATAAAAAAACACAGTGAGAAATATTGCATATTATTATCTACATATCGAGCCTGTTAACTGAGGGGGCTATTTTAAGAATTCTTTTATAGGAGTCAACCAATTACTGTTACGTAATTAAATGGTTTAATAGTGCAATATTTCTTCAATTCCTTAATTACACAAATTAGGCGAACTAAACCAAAGTGATAAGGTTACCATCGGCTATTGTATGATGATAAAAGTAAAGAATGGGATATTATTATAAAGTTTGAGGAACGAACTTGAGAGACTTTATTTATTATCGTAACAACAGTAGCAATGAAAATCGAGAGTATGCCATTCTTCAAATATTCACTTTTCGCAGCATATCATAATTTGACTGAAATTTTCAAAATAATCCATTTTATTTAAAGCTCTATTTTTAAACTATTATAGCGAGAACGACCAGCTCGAAATCTACACCTTTTGCAATTCACAAGTCTAAATAATGTTGTTTTATTTTCAGTAAATATTGATGTACTTCGAAAACATGCTGATGTAAAAAGGTAAACTAGTACAATTATTCCCCAAGAGACCACAAATGGAACCAGAGTGTTCTACAGATTTTGCTCTGCTTACTGTCTGTATGTCATGGGGGGGGGGGTACGATAACTAAGTGAGTAAGATGCTGGCTCGCTAGCCTGGAGGTCGGGTGTTCGATCCCTGCATTCGCCGAGAAAGTTCATCCAGATTTCCCGGCGTTGTTCCCCCTTGTCAGTGATGCAGAACGGAGGGCCTGCCAAGGACAGCTGTCTAGTCGTTCGGATGGGACGAAAAACCGAGGTCTCGTGCACACATTGGCGTGCACGTATAAGATCCCTGGACAGTTGGAATTCGATATAAGAGTAGGCCGTAGTGCTGCTTTCCGGGAAACATTTCCCTCATAGCACACTGTATGGCGTATGTCTGTCTTCTTTAGCCCAGTTCGGAACAGAAAAGTAGGACGTTAAACCCATTTCATTTCATTTCTGTATGTCATGGGGGTAGGGAGGGGGTGAAGCTCTAGTACGCTTTTCTCCTTGTCCTCCGACTTCACCCACTGCTAAAGACCCCTATAATTGAACCACGAGTTAGTCCCATTTAATTACATTAGCTAAATAGCTATTCTTTGGCACCTAGAAATGGGTATAATTTGGTCGCAACGCATAATAGTGTATTATGAATGTATTTAAACTAATTTACATTAAAACGTTGACTGTAATTTCTAATCAATTATGTTCGGCAAAATACGAATAAAGTCCAAATTGAATGGCATTATGTGGTGCCTGGTTATTCCAATCTACACCGATAGTATTCCCCTGTGGGTTATATTTACCCTCTTTCATCGAGTTGCTTGATGATAAATGTCGCTCGAAATCATTCTTCGTGTGCCAATTTAAAATGTTCATTTTGTCTTAAATATTCAATATCAGAAGCCCATCTTTTCACGGTTAGATAACAACATATTTGCAATGTCGAAGACTGGAGATGATATGTAGTTGGGGGCTTGCCTCTTTTAAGAAAAGGGCATATTGAATTTTCTGCAGATTTCAACAATTAATTTAGCAGTAAGTTATGTCCCTTGTTTTCTCCAGGTTGTATTTTGATGGAACATGCTCTGGATACTAATTTTTGTGCCCAAAAATGTTTTTGTAGTGCTAAAATCTTTCAACTTGGGAATGTCTGTTTATTAAAGAAACAAAATAAGTATGATATAAGTCCAATAAATTTATAGATATTTTATACATACATGTATATACAGGTCAATATGTAAATGCATCCACTACCAATGATGATGTTTACAATCAAAATATAAGCTTACTAATTATAAAAGCCAGTTTGCAGAGTTCCAACAAGTGGTTGTCATGCAAGGTACGCCCACATTTTGCAAGAAATGGACAGAGAACAAGCTAAAAAAGCGAATTTTCGTACGATCAGGGGCCATAATCCTGGATTTTACTGCCCGACATGCAACAATATCAAATAGAACCAAGATCGTTGGGATATAAACATATATTTTATATTTCATCAAAATCAATAATAAATATGACCTCTTGAGGGTCGAACAATCAGGGGCCACAATCCAGGAAGTTATGGTCCGATAGGCTAGATTTAAAAATATATACAAAGTTTCATCAAAATTAGATAAAAATTGTGAGCTGTAGATGGTCCACAAGCTAAAAATGTGTGAATATCGACAGAAACCGAGATTCTTGGGTTATAAACATATATTACACGTTTCATCAAAGTGTCCACAAGATAAAAACGTGATGTTTCGTACAATCAGGGGCCATAATCCATGAATTTACAGCCCGATACATGCAAATATCGAATGCAACAGAGATCCTTGGGAGATAAACCTATATTTCAAGTTTCGACAAAATCGGATAAGAATTGTGACCTGTAGATTGTCAAGAAACAAACTGTGAAAGGAGGGGCGTCCCGACGGACAGTAGTGACATCAATGTGCGTCGACATGAAAATGTGGATGCATAAAAACTCTAATAGACCCAGTAACTAACTAGATATCCATGCGATTTCTAAAACAAGAACTGTAACTCAAAGTTGCTGATAATGTGTATATCTCAAGTTTCGACAAAATCAGATAAAAATTGTGACTTGTTGCGGACAGATGGGCGACAACAATATACGTCCACTTGAAACTGATGGCGTATAAAAACCCTTCGAAATCATTCTGTCCTACATTATCATTTCGACCTAATAATCATGATTGAAGCTGAAATTCATTAATAATGTTAGACATGGAGAGTTCACGAATTCGGGATTAAGATTTTCATGTGTTTTACTGGTCTGAATAGAAGGGATCTTAGCATCTCATGGACACTAGGGTCAGAAAAGACAGAAGAAACTTTACACGCAGAGTTGGATGTATATGATCAATACCTATATCATCCTTGAAAGAAACAACTGCTGTTACCCGCACACTGTTAGTCTAATAAATTAATAGACACTGAAACAACAGGAACTTATAAAGGTTTTAATAAAAATTAGAAACATATATGATACATATAATTTTCGGTTGGGGATAGCAAGGTCAAATTCGGGTATCCGAAATTACGTGGCTTCGGGACGATTTGTGGTCGTCTCTAACTATGTAATATTAATAATTACTTACAAAACACTTTCTACTACCAGACATAAAGACTAAATATAAATAAAACACTGTGTTCAAACGCTGTCAAAACACTTCCTTGAGCCAGGATAATAATATCCAGTTTTCAAGACGAAAAGGCTAAATATACAAAGACCAAACGCTGTTAATTACACTTTCATAAAAATACTTTCTTGAGCCAGGATAATACTATCCAGTCTAGAAGACAAAAGGCTAATGCATGGAGGCAATGAGACTCAACTTATTCATCCACCTAGTAATAAAAGGTAGGGTGAAATCCTAAACTAACAGACACAAAATAAATAAAAGAACCGATGCCTCAACTAAACCAACATGACACATCGCTTACAACATGCATAAATAATAATTTGAAAGGATAAAATATACTAAATAAGTCTTAAATTAAACATGCCTACTAATTAATAAATTCTTGATATACAAGAAGCTAATATTATCTCCCTTGGACAAGTCGGCATGGAATCTAAAATCCAGACACGGGTACTATCCAAAAAATATGCAGAACTTTTGACACAAAGTAGGCACCACAAAACTAAGGATAGGCACGGATAGCTAGATAATTTATCTACCAGATACATATAAGTTCCCATCAAAAATGTTTACTTACAAATTCTGCCCGCTTAATATTATAACAAACTAAGTGAAAGTACATACAAATACATAGTAAAGTTCTTGCTTGAAAATACAGTCGGCAGACACAATTAACAATAATAAAAACATAGGCAGCATGCTCAATTAGAAATATATACTCTTACACAATATAAAAATATCAAAATATTAAACAGGCGATGACTGTGCCGAGAAAACGATAGATTTTACTAGAGTAGCGATAGGTACCAAAGACTTACACCCATAGTCTAAATATAGAACTACGGAGTGCTTTTCCGGAAAACGAAATACAAATAATTAAGATAGCTACGGCTACCGGTTACACTGCATCCTTCGGGTCTTCACAATAGCGAACCGTCTCTACTTCTACTGGTTGATCTGATAACAAGGCCTCAAGAAAGTTTTGAAGGTCATCCGTATCAGCTTTCTCTGGAATGTTTCTAACTAATATTTTATTGAGATAGTGTGGTATCTTCTGATATTTCAACGCTTTGTACTGATTTTTACCAATTGTATGGGTTCCTTTTTCGATAACACCTTGCACAGCTGAAAGACATTAATATATATTAAATGAAAGACATGGAAATCTAGATCAGTATTTCCTTACACCGGTTAAATGTTTGAAACTTTGTATAATGGAACTAAATAATTTATTTTCTTTACATATATTTCATTTTATCAATCATCTAGATGTGTCATAATTTTTGCATTGTCGTTGCATTTCTAAATTAGTGCTTTGCAGAGCTTTGTCTGTTGCTGGAAAAATAATTTTCCATTTGCCATGATAAAAATATACAATAATATTAGGAGGTTCAAATAAGATTGTATGGTTCAGCCACTACATCGCATTTGCAAGGGCAATGTCAGTTTAAGATTAATTACAAGTGATACTTATTTCGTTGAGCATTACATTGACAGCAGAATTCCAAGTATATAATGGGGTACAGATCGCTTTTGAACAAACAACCCTCTTAAAACATTGAAATTTTGGTTGTAAAATATCAAAATGTGGATATATAACTTAAATCCCTGAAATTCTAAAAAAATAAAGGTAAAGCATGGCGTACGAGTTTTGTCCCATTATATAACACTTCCCTTTCTGTGCCAAAATGTGACTGAAACAGGAACCTTTAATATTTTGGTCACAGACATACCGGTAATTCTTTTTGTCCCCCGCCTTTCGAAGAAAGCAGGGGACTATTAAAATGGGTTCGTCCGTCTGTCTGTCTGTCCGTCACACTTTTTGGGACACAATAACTCTCTTCCTAATTGAGCTAGAATGTTCAAACTTGGTGTATGTGTTTATTAGGTCAATGCCTTGATGGAGTTCGAAGATGAGCATTTTCCGCTTAGGGTTAGCAGAGATAAGCAATTTGATTGGTTGATGCTTTGGGACACGATAACTCACTTCCTAATTAGGCTAGAATGTTCAAACTTGGTGTATGTGTTGATTAGGTCAATGCCTTGATGGAGTTCGAAGATGAGCATTTTCCGCTTAGGGTAAGCAGAGATAAGCAATTTGATTGGTTGATGCTTTGGGACACGATAACTTTTAATTGAGCTAGAATGTTCAAACTTGGTGTATGTATTTATTAGGTCAATGCCTTGATGGAGTTCGAAGATGAGCATTTTCCGCTTAGGGTAAGCAGAGATAAGCAATTTGATTGGTTGATACTTTGGGGCACGATAACTCTCTTCCTAATTGAGCTAGAATGTTCAAACTTGGTGTATGTGTTGATTAGGTCAATGCCTTGATGGAGTTCGAAGATGAGCATTTTCCGCTTAGGGTAAGCAGAGATAAGCAATTTGATTGGTTGATGCTTTGGGACACGATAACTTTAGTTCTAATTAAGTGAGATTGATGAAACTTGGTGTATAGTTTCATTACAGTAATACCTTGACTAAGTTTGATAATGAGCATTTTCTGCTCAGGGTAAGCAGAGCGATACGCAATTTGATTGGTCGAGACTTTGGAAAACAATAACTCTCCTACTTTGATTGTCCCCCGCCTTTCGAAGAAAGCAGGGAACTATTAAAATGGGTTCGTCCGTCTGTCTGTTTGTCTGTCTGTCCGTTCCGCTTATTTGTGATAAATTTATATGTGTCCTCTAATTATTTTCCTATTTCGGCGGGGGACATCAGCCTCACTGTTGGCTTGTTTATACTTATAACTATTTATTCAGTTGATCCTTCAATTATACTTTTTAAATCAGTGCTTGTGTGTGTTTAAATTGTAAGCCAATGGTGCCTACTTTGGACACACTGACATTTGCAACTTATTTGAATGCTTTTTTTAAGGTACATGTAGCACAATTTACCAAATTCTATCCAAATCCACCATTAGCTTAACTCAAATGACAATAATTTATATCGGTATTTGATACACTGAAAAAAAACTTGTGTTGGATCTCAACACAAGCACTTGTGTGAAAATTATTCTACACAAGTTATGTGTTGTTTTGCATTGCATTAACACAAACTTGTGTTCTTTTTAATGCATTAACACAAATCTTGTGTTTTTTCCATATAATTAACACAAGTAATGTGTACCGTCAACAAATATTTTTTTTTTTAAATTTGAACTCCATACAAAGTCTTAATCCGGGGGTCCACAAGTAAGAGAAAGGTATTTTTTACTCAGACAATATAGCCAGACAGACTTGAATGCTAATTGGTGTTAAGATGTCTGTAGTTAAAATAAAGTTGGGCCCAATAAACTGGTAGATCAAAGGCCTGTTGAGCGCTCATGCCCGGTGTGATTTTAACAATTGACTCCAAATGCGTTGACAAGAAAATAAGTAAAACTGTTATTGAATATGATTGGTTGATAAAATCAACGTACTATAGGCTACATTTTGTCTGCGATATCATCTCGGTGGAAGCGGACATTAAATGAAGTGATTTCACACAATTAATTTAATATTTAACAACGTGCTGAAATGATTTTGGAGCAGTGATATGTTTGACAAATGTAAGCTAATGGTCACATAGAATACAAGACCGCAGGTTTGTGAATATTTATATAAAAAAAATAATACCATGTATGTAATTTAGCATCGATATTGTTTCTCTGTATAATATTAGTATTTCGTTTCCTTAAAAAAAACTCCAACAATTTAAACCGGAAGTTCATGTTTATAATATGGCGCGGTCAGGAAAAAAATTTCGGCATGTTATTATCAAATCTGTTCAATTTTTCTGAAATCATGCTTAATTAACATTAGTTGTTCGGCGCTACGATGTTGTTCAAATACTTACATTACAGAATCACATTATGATTAAAGCAGAAACGGTTCGACTTGAACCAGCAGGTAAGAATCTGTTTTGAAATTATATCTTGGGAGGTTGGATTGGCGTTGGAGACCCGATTGGCGGCCATTTTGATTCTTGTTTCATGATTTTTTTTATATTATAACGATTTTGCCAAGAGTAGACATAAACGCGGGCACAGACTAGAATAAAATCTTTTTACACTTTTGTGTTAGTTGAATTGTAATCTAATTTATGTTTAAAAAAACAACCTTAAATCTAATAAGCAGACGGAAGATATGGACGAACAACAAGAAGAAGGTATGGAGGTCCCAACAACTGAACCTATGGAAGTAGAAGAATCGTTTACAGCCGAAACCCGATACGATGTGCCAGTTCCGGTTATGGAGTCCTCCATCTCAGACGATGCCGACGTTAGTGTCTTCTGCGACGAAGAACCCGAAGTGGTGTATCACTATAAACCTCAGAATGCCTCGTTCGGCATTTCTGTCCAAACGAGGCAAAAACGTGTCAAAATGTTTGCCCCGATTTTGCCTCGTTGTAACGAGGTAAAAAAAATACCTCGTTTCTCTGGAGTTCCAAAACGTGTTTTTTTTTTAAATTGCCCTGTTTTTGGAACGAGGTATTTTGTTCAGAACGAGGCTGGGTAAAATTGCCTCGTTTACTAAACGAGGTATTTTATCCAAGATAATTATTAGCGGTATTTGCTGTCGACAAATAGAGCCATACAAATAATGTTCGGACCATCATGTGACCAATTGCAGATCTACAAATTAGATTATTTATTTGGGACATGATATTGTTCATAGTTATGGCTTACTACACTGGAGTTCTATTATGTATAATAAACGCTTCCCGAGCGAAACAAAACATAACAATGTCACGTGACAATATTACATATGGCGGATACAAGCGTTCTTTGATTACATGCTGTTTGGTTTGATTATTAAATAATACGGCAATCTGTATATATGAGAAAAGGAGAATGAATTTCCCCAAATCCAAAACTAGATGACTGGAATATTTATTGAATGGAAAGTAAATATTTTATAAACAAAAATATTCGGATTTGAAGTATCCTAGCTTGGATGGATTTGTGATTTGAATCTCGAACTCAGTGTTTTATACATTTTATTATAAAATTGTAATAAATGTTTTACATGAATGAATAAAATCTACAATTTAAAACAGTACAATAACATTGTGATTTGACGCTCTACAAATCACTAAGAGTATAACAATTGCTTGTTGAAAAAGCGTTAATAATATGTTTTTTTCCATTTATTATTTTTTAAAAATATATTCAAAAAGAATGCGTCTTTTACAGATTTCAATATAACCACAAATGGTTGATTGTTTTAATGCTAAGATAAGTATTAATGGTTTGTATTTGAAAATCAAATTATATAAGCGAAAAATAGTAAGATACATTATGTATATCTTAAAACACGCCCTTCTCAGTTACTACTTCGGCGAATATCGTTTGATAATTTAGATGATCAGAATTAAACACCGTTTTGCTATGTTATTATTTTTTTATGATTGGGTGGGGGTATACTTAATTAGGGGATTGGATTGAAAGATTATAGCTACCATCTTATGGAGACATAATGTGTGTTGCATTTACGGTCTTATAAAGCTCTATTCTTACATAAAGAATTCTTGATTCGCACGGAAGTGTTTTAGCCGTGATCATTTTAAGTCATGCTTATGCCAAGATCTGGGTAAGTGTTAATTTAACTAGATATCAGAAAAGTACCACGTTTTCATAAATGTACTCTTTAGATAAATTGTACAATATTTATCAGTTCACTAGTTACAATAAAATCATGCATTATAGCTATTTTTATTTATTTATCCCTGGTGCTTCAAATTCAATTTAGGGTGCCTCAACATATTTAAAACAAGCCAACAGTGAGGCTGATGTCCCCCGCTGAAATCCCGAAATAAATAGATGACATATATTAATTAATTGCATGTTTATCTTTTTCAAAAGTATCCAGCAATCAAACTGATTATTAAGTATACATTAAGTTTCATCACTCTCTATCAGATAGAATCAAAATAAACAAGGCATTGACCTAATAAACACATACACCAAGTTTGAACATTCTAGCTCAATTAAAAGTTATCGTGTCCCAAAGCATCAACCAATCAAATTGCTTATCTCTGTTTACCCTAAGCGGAAAATGCTCATCTTCGAACTCCATCAAGGCATTGACCTAATCAACACATACACCACGTTTGAACATTCTAGCCCAATTAGGAAGAGAGTTATCGTGTCCCAAAGCATCAACCAATCAAATTGCTTATCTCTGCTTACCCTAAGCGGAAAATGCTCATCTTCGAACTCCATCAAGGCATTGACCTAATAAACACATACACCAAGTTTGAACATTCTAGCTCAATTAGGAAGAGAGTTATTGTGTCCCAAAAAGTGTGACGGACAGACAGACGGACGGACGGACAGACAGACGGACGAACCCATTTTAATAGTCCCCTGCTTTCTTCGAAAGGCGGGGGACAAATATGTTTTAAAGCTTTAGGTCATTTTATTATATCTTTCTACCATAAATAATAGCCCGAATTTAGGTATACCAAAAGTTAAAGAAATATAAACAGTTTTTGAGTCATTCAGATATGACTGCCAAAATTGTCACCAACACACATGTCGTGTTTAGGCTAAAATCTAACCAGAAAAGTATTGTCAATACATAATAAAATATATATTGCATTAATCAATTCCATTCCGCAATTGGTTTGTCTTAAACTCGTCATTTGTGTTCATGGGCATCAGGGTCGAGATGGCAACGTTATATGTTTTATTCGTCTAATTTACTATAAAACATCATTCGGTTTGCCTCACGGGTTAACGGCATATTAATAGCTTTATTCACTGAGATGGTTCCTTTACTTATAGTTTATTTTTCGAATTGCTTTTTGTATTTATTTAAATGGAAATATTAACAACATTCTATAAGTCAATCCACGAACATACCCAATTTCAATATTTGCGTGTTGACCTTTAACATCACACTTAGATCCTGTACGCTTTGTGTCTTACAGTCAATACATGTCATGAAGAACTCTTTAGACATAATTTCGTTTATAATACTTTACTCGTTTCTATTGAGTTGTTTAGCAGAAGTAACCCATGACAACAATATGTTGAGACGACTACGTAACAGAATAGGACGATTCAATGTTATTAAAATGACACAATGACAATTTTAATTTTATTACCAACCCTTTCACAATATTTGAATGAAATATCTCACACAGGGTGTTAATCTGTTTTCAGTTTCTATTCCAATTCAATAAAACATTTAATACATGTCTTGGCTTGATTCATTATTTACAATTTAATACGTTAATCGTGTATTTTAAATAATACAGTTCAAGAGATCAAAACATTTCCGAATTTATACATTCAACATTACACGTAGACCTAAATTTATTTTTCAAATACGTGTATAAACATTTATATGAAATATATTATAAACAGATATGCTATGACCAGAGTTGCCATTATCTTTATTATTCGACTGGAAAACTCCTGTCATTCACTCTGTCGTTCGACTGATCCATCATTCACGTTGTCATTTCCGAGTCTGAAATTTGGGGTATAGGGGTAGCTCGGACCGGGGAGTAAAATAGGCCAGGTGGCGTTAGTCTACCACTTCCGGTTTCGGAGTTATGACCCCCGAGCGAAGCCGGGCATTCTTCTAGTATATAAATAAATATATAAATAAATCATCTTCATGGTCATCATCATCGTCATCGTCATCATCACTATTTAACACCAATCATCGTCGCCTGACAATTACCTTATCTATTCAAAGCGCTTGTTTAGTTTTAAATACTTGTGAACTTTACTAAAACTCACTTTGTTGAACGGGTTACTTTCGTTGGTATCGCCATATAGGAACGCTTTTGTATTTATGGATTTAAATGGGAGGGTATTTAATGTTGAGATACGCTGAGACGAATAATTTGGGCAGTGCAGAAAATAATGGTCGCTGTCTTCTTGAGTATGACCACAACTGCATGTCGGGTTATGTGAAATATGCATTAAAAATCTATGGAAGTTTAGAGCACTTTTACAATTACGAAGTCTGGAATGTATAATCTGAAATTTACGTTCTCCATAGTAACATCTTACTGACATCAATAAATACAAAAATATGACTAAGTCGAAAGTCAACAAGACGGTATACAAGCCAAAATGCAAGTCGAAAATAAGAAATTAGGAAAAAAAAACGAGGGGCGCTATTATCGCAGTGTATTATTTCTTGATTTCCTATTTTCGAGTCGATTTTGGCTTGTATAGCGTTGCTGTCGCCTCACATTTTGTCGTAACTGCTACTTTTCGACTTTCGTGTTTTGGAGGGCGAAAAGTAGAAATTAAGAATGGTAGGCTTCTATAGTTAGGCGTTTGTATATATGACTGTATACTTGACACATGTACGACCTGAATGGCTGAATGGCCGGTAACCAAATATGTTATTGTGAGTGTTAAACGACATCGTAATTATTTTATATTTTGCAAAAAAAAAACAAACAACAAAAAACAAAACAAAAAAACACAAGCCGTGATTGCCATTACTACAATACGGATTACTAAATATACTTTGTGTTCAATTTTATATTTTAATACTGAAGACAGGGCCGGACTATAAATGAACAAGGCGGATCCTTTTGGCTTATATTGAGTAATTATTGCAACGTGTTACAGTTGAAAGTTCCAAAGCATTTTCACATTCCATGTCCGATAAATTTAATCATCATGCAACTACTGATTGGTGGGTCGTCGAAACATTTAGATGCATACATCACAGCACCGTGGTTTAGACAACTTGCAATTGAACTAGTTTTATTGTTGTACACATAATGAAAGAAACTGTGTTATTTCACAGCTGAATTCTATGGTAAGAACCGTAGAACCACCTTGTAGGGAATAACTTTTAAACTTTAACACCCTATACACACTCTGCCAGCGGCATCTTTGACCCACACTCTCTTAACATTAATCCAAACTTTAAATATTTCAACGGTTTAACAAGAAGGTGCTAAATATTTCCATTTAAATAAATACAAAAAGCAATTCGAAAAATAAACTATAAGTAAAGGAACCATCTCAGTGAATAAAGCTATTAATATGCCTTTAACCCGTGAGGCAAACCGAATGATGTTTTATAGTAAATTAGACGAATAAAACATATAACGTTGCCATCTCGACCCTGATGCCCATGAACACAAATGACGAGTTTAAGACAAACCAATGGCGGAATGGAATTGATTAATGGAATAAAATATTTATTATGTATGGACACTAAGTTTTATGGTTAGACTTTAGCCTAAAAAAACATGCGCGCTGATTACAATTTTGGCAGTCATATCTGAATGGCTCAAAAACTGGTTATATTTCTTTAACTTTTGGTATATTTAATTCGGGCTATTATTTAATATATATATTGATCAACAGCGGCGATAAAAATCATTAGTCTCGACAATGACTAGTTGTCAGTGAAAGTCTCTCAGGGGAGCCAGGCGGCTCTGTGAATAAAGAGCTGGCTTGAACGCCTCGTGTTCATTAGCCTGAATAGTGAAGGAATGCGGGTCATTAAACCCCAATTTCATTTCATAAATCTCTCGGCTCAATAATGAGCTTCTCGGGTTAGTTAGATCCACGCCTTAATGCATATACAACCAATAGAGAAATAGGTCAAATATGGCGACAATGATCAACTTGCTCTTCTTCTACTAAATTAAAGATTCGTATGGAGATTCTGTCGATATAATCATATATTTATATCTGCTCTTTCTTAAAATGGAGACGGTTAGTAAAATGGTCTTCTTTACGTTCGTAAATATCAGTATGACCTTAGTGAATACCGCACGATTACGATCCGTTCCAGACTGATAACTTTACGTTCCTAAATATCAGTCTGACCGTAGTGAATACCGTACGAATACGATCCGTTCCATACTGATACCTTAATTATAGGCTAATTATAGAGCCTTCAATTTCAAACACATTTTTATTATCATATGCTCTTATTTTTTTTTCATCATTATATGATTAACATTTCCTAAACTTTACGATTTTCAACTTTTTTTTTAAATAATAGTCCATCTCTGAGACAACAAAAACGTAAATAAATGGAAGATAAAAGCAAGAAAGACAACCCTAATAAAGGAGTCAGGACTAAGACTAGTAATTATTTCCCCTTATTTCATGATTGTCGAATGTAGTGCGAGTTATAAATAGACAATTTTTCCCTTAATTTTTTTCTCCCCTCTTCCTGCATTTTTGGGTTGACTTTTTGGTCTAGAATTGGAGAAAAGGGATCAAATTTGCAATTTCATAGCAGTTTTGGGTAATACTGATGATATTACACCGGTGGGATAGGGAGTGTAAAGTGTCTTTCTGAAGAGCAATCATTGTGTCGGAAGTGAGATTTTCACCCCTGTCAACTTCAAATCCGTGTAGCAAAAAATCTAAACGGTCAACCCCCTACAAAATTATGATGAGGAGATTGCCAAATGTTGTCCCCATTGTGCCTATAAAGATTGGAACCAACGGAATGTTGAGCAAAAAGCTACAGCCTGTGATGTTACAGTCATTTAACATTGAAGTCAATGGGCAAATAATTGCTAGTCTGACTCCTGATGATAAAGAAGCATGGCCGACTCGGGATGTTGATATTTTTTCAACGGCTTATTTCCTGAAGTTTTGAATGGAAAGTGTCAGAAATGGTAAGAATACTGCTTTTTTATTGCCCAGCAGTAAGTTTTTTGACTATTTGGTATCAAAATAGCCATGATTGGGGGTATCCGTTGGTTGAGTGTGAATTTTGGGTTGTAAATGTGTAACATTTTGTTCACAATGATATCAAAACATGGTTAGGTCTAAATATTAAGGCCAACTCAACTCCAGATTTGGTCTAAAGTCACGAGATGTAAACAAGACTGACCCTAACCCTAACCCAAGACCCAGTCCTTACCCTAACCCTAACCCACGTTACCCACCCATGGTTGTGCGATAGCTCAGTGGTAGAGCGCTGGACCGGCAACTGCGAGGCGAATGGGTGCCGTCATGGGTTCGATTCCCGTATGGGTTAGGAAACGTTAGACCCACGGCCCGTGCTTTCTGTGGGGGGATCTGTAAAGAACCCTCACCTCCCGATAACCCTAACCCACAATCTTGTCAAAAAGCATGTAGCCTAGGCCTAAGCCAAGACCTAGTTCTGACCCTAGCTCAAACCCACAATTGTGTCAAAAAATCATGTGCCCTAACCCTATTTACATGTTGTGACCTTGAACCAAGTCTGCAGTTGGCCTTAACATTTAGACCTAACATGTTTTTGACATCATACAATGAAATGTTAACATGTACACTCCAAAATTCACACCTGTGTGACGTTTGACCAAACATGCAGTTGGCCTTAATATTTAGACCGAACCTCAAAACATGGCATCTACCTTTGAGATTGGCTTAGACTTATGTGACACTCAAGGTTTACTTTTTTACTGATTGTTAACTGGTTTCTTTTTGGAGGACCAGTGACGGGCTGTTCGCGAGAAATAAAGAGGTTTATTTCTATTTCCAGTTGAAACCATATTTTTTTCTTATTTTCTCACTGTTTTTTATTGCATATTTATCCCCAGCCTCCTATCATTTCAGGTGCCAGGGCAATGTTTCATAGAGTGGAATGATTGACCTCAACACAAGTATTAAAAAAAAAAGAAGCAAAACAGGTGAGATAAATGTGCATTTCATACACTTTAAGAAGTACATCCAACCTCATCCCCACTTCTGCTGACTAATAGTAATGGGCTGGAAATTTGGTACTGCACAGGCCTGTCTTCTCCCCTTGACATTTAACTGAATGACAGAATTCCACATTTTGACCATTTTCTGGATGTCAATGACCATTTCCCTGGATAGTATTCGCCCCAGAATTCTCATTCTCATCCAAATTTAACATTTCAGGTCTACATCTCAATACCTGATCTCTTCCTGGACTGGCTTTAGGAGAACGATGATGAATATCAATTTCATCCCTGATCTCTATGACACCTGTGGTGGAAGTGGAGGGCAAATCGTAATCAGTTTGGGTTCCAGCCCCGAGGACCTCTGTAAACTTTGCTTTTTGGTGATGACTTAATTTCCGAGCTTGAAAAGGACGCTTGTGTGTTTATCATGGCCTCTCATATTGGAAGATAACATTAATGGCTTGTGTGTTGATCGACGGTTGTGCATATCTCTTGGTCAGGAACGTTGTAGGCACCATCGCCATTGTAAATCATTTGACAGGCCCGAGTGAACGGGGCGACCTATGATTGGTCAGCAATGTATCAGATTCCATACCGGGGGGTGGGGATGAAAAAACTGTTGTGTTACATAATCAGATTATTTCAACTTACTTATCCTGTGGAAATACAGCTATATAGGAGATATTTTGAAATTCATAGGCACAGCATGTTTCAACATTTTAGATTTGACCACAATCTGGCACTTGAAACTATGTTAACAGAGAAAAACTGTGTGGTTTTCGATGAAAGTGTTAAAAGTCTAATATTGCATCATGATTACTGTATTTTCGTGTTTGATTTATATTGAATTCATCTCATCTTTTTGAAGAATGCATTTATGTTCAAAAATAAAAATGTTCTGTGGAATTCAAAATTCATGTGCTTTTAAATTATCAGATTCCAAACTGGGGGGTAGGGATGAAAAAGCTGTTGTAGTGTTACATAATCAGATTATTTCAACTTACTTATCCTATGGAAATACAGCTATATAGGAGATATTTTAAAATTGATAGGCACTGCATGTTTCAACATATTAGATTTGACCACAATTTGGCACTTGAAACTACGTTAACAGAGAAAAACTGTGTGGTTTTCGATGAAAGTGTTAAAAAGTCTAATATTGCATCATGATTACTGTTTTAAAGTATTTTCGTGTTTGATTTATATTGAATTGTATTTAGAAAACGGAGGAAACCGAATGACCCAGCGAAAAAACTCAAGAGATTGGACAGGAGACTCTACTCCTTGAAATTGAAACCATGCCCTTTAACACAATGACAGACCCTGTGATTTCATGCGCATGCATTACCTACTAGACCATTCCCCCCAGCCCCACCCCATATCGAATAAAAGTATGACTTATTTCAAATATGATATTTACATATAAAGAAAGTAGAGAGACTTCAATCTTACTAGAAAAATACTAGATTACCTGAAATGAAATGGGGTTTAAAGACAACGTCCTACTGGTCAGCTCCGACTGGTCTAATGCATTGTGCTAAGTGAAAATGTTTGTCTGGGCAGCGACACTATGGCCTACTCTCATACCGAATTCAAACTGCCAAGAGAACTTTTATGTGTACGCCAATGTGTACATTGGATCTCAGGGGAAACCACTCTGCAAAATCAAGATGAGCTTTCTCGGTCAACCCCAAGAGATAACCTGTGGCCTCCATGCTAATGTGCCAGCACCTAATTTACTCAGTCACCATGGCCGTCTTCTAATTACTGCGACAGTGAAACCATGTGACAAACAAGGATTATTAAGATAGACTTTTACGGCTTGGTAGTTCCTTGGGATTAAAACTTTTGATACATATAGATACATTAGTTTCAATTTCATATCACACAGTTTGTATATATGGTAAGGTAGCTTTAATCGTAAATTACATATCATGTATTTATTTTTTCAGTTTCAATATTGGATGTATATGCAAATCACCCAGAAAAAGATCATGTAATAACAAAAGAAATTATAAAAAAAAAAGGAAGAAGAAATGGCTGGAAAAAATGATGATAGAGCAGCTTTTTCTTGGTGGGTAACTATTCAATTCTAATAGAAAAGATTGTTATGCTATTTTGAAATCTAAAATTCAGTTTAGTATAGTAAAACTGTACACGTCATGTATGAGCAGAGACAGAATCTTAGTTATATGTAGATATCACTGTCTCATCTGTGGCAAAGCAAACCAACACATGAAACAAAACAAATGTAATTAAAGTAACATTTTTTTAATTAATCAAAACTGTCTAGTCAATTTAAGCCAACTAATACATTGCCATTTTTTTTTCAGTTACCCACCTCGGAAGATCAAGTTGGAAAGGGCTATTGATATTGTGGAGACGTTTTCTCACAGATCTTGCTTATCAGACAAAGACTATGTAAGTACCATGCATATTTGCTTTTTAAATCAGGAACTGGGTCTATACACTTGGTGGGGGGGTTGGATGGACGTTAAACCCCATTTCTCTCTCTCTCTCTCCTAAATATTGAGATTTTTGTTTACTTTTAAACTGCATATATTCAAGGTATCAGGAGCTTTTTATGGCTCCCGTACAATTTTATAAACATGAAGGACTGTACCTTTTGAATATTAAACCATCAAATTATTTTATAATTTTGAAAATGAAATGAAATGGGGTTTAACATCCTACTGTTTTGCTCATAAATTGGGCTAATGAAGACGGGCATACGCCATACAGTGTGCTATGAAGGGAATTTTGCCCGGGCAGCGGCGCTACAGCCTACTCTTATATCGAATTCCAATTGCCAAGGAATCTTTTATGTGCACGCCAATGTGTACACGGGACCTCGTATTTTTGTCCCATCCGAACGACTAGACAGCTGTCCTTGTCAGGTCCTCCGTCCTGTATCACTGACAAGGGGAAAACACGCAAAATGTAAGTAACATATATATTTGTATTTTTAATCAGGAAGTACTTCTATACACTTGCTTGGTAATCTAGTTATTCTTCTTGGGGCAATGCCTATGACTCTGCTGTTTCAAGTACTTGGCATGCTTGATTTTTGCCAATCACATCCATTGATTTCCTTCAAGTTGCGATAGGCCCTACAGTAAATAGCAGTAAAATAATGATGGACAGTATTTTACTTTCAAATAGATTTCAGTAGATTTTAAAGGGTAATATCCAATTTGTTGTCAATGGAAATAAAATAAGAATGGGTCCAAAAATAATTAGACATTACGCAAAGTTGAAACCAAATAGAGACTCGGTCTCGATGTGGCAAAATAAATTGTTTATTTAAACGTTGTGAACCATAGAAAGTATTCTTATCTCCTACTTTTTATTTTTTAGGCTGGAACACCATTGAAAGAGTATTTGCTGTATGATAACAACAAGAAAACCCAAGCATCAATTTATTTTATACTTCTGGGAAAGAATGCATTTGACCCAATTTTTAAATATTTATTTTTTGTTATTAATGTTAAATTTTCTTCCAAAACACAATTAGATTTTAATTCTCTTCAGAAATGTATGTATAATATAGCAAGTAAAGTGGCATATAAATCACTTAGAATTTGGTCAGAAATCATAAAGTATTTAATAGGCATTACTAGAAACCAAATGTAGATCAAATACACCCAGAATTACAAAAAACCTTGACCTACATAAAGGTGACTTTCCCTTGCTTATGAAATGAAATACGGTTTAGTATCCTACTTTTCTGTGTTCTTTTTATGGCTCCCGTACAATTTTATAAACATGAAGGACTGTACCTTTTGAATATTAAACCATCAAATTATTTTATAATTTTTAAATATTTATTTTTTGTTATTAATGTTAAATTTTCTTCCAAAACACAATTAGATTTTAATTCTCTTCAGAAATGTATGTATAATATAGCAAGTAAAGTGGCATATAAATCACTTAGAATTTGGTCAGAAATCATAAAGTATTTAATAGGCATTACTAGAAACCAAATGTAGATCAAATACACCCAGAATTACAAAAAACCTTGACCTACATAAAGGTGACTTTCCCTTGCTTATGAAATGAAATACGGTTTAGTATCCTACTTTTCTGTGTTCTTAGAGTGATTCTGCCCTACACCCTACTCTTATATCAAATATTTCAACTGTCAAGGGTTCTTTAACGGGAACCCGGGGGGGGGGGGGGCAATGATTAACACGCACACATTTGATCAGGAAGTCTGTCATTGAGTCAAATAATTCAATTGTCAAGGCTTCTTGAACGCAGTGGGGATGGTTTCGATTCCGGGAATGGGGGAGGGGGTGGTGGATGGCCGAATGGGAAGCATGTGCGTGCGGTATCATACGGCCTGTCATTGAGTCAACTGGCGTGGTTTCGAATCCCCGGTTGTACGTGACAAGGAGTAGGGTCGCCTGTCCAATCTTGTGGGTTTTCTACGGGACCTACTGTTTCCTCCCACTGCTAAAGACCCCTATGCGCAACGAATTATTGAAATAAAATTAAACCATATGTTAATCCCGAAATGACCTAGTTTGTGTCAAGTGGACGTTAAACCCCATTTCTCTCTCGCTCTCTTTCGATTCCGGGCTTGTACCCAATTATCCCTTGCCATATCCAAGACTACTGACAAGTGGGAACTATGCCGGAAAATCCAGTTGAAATTTCTCGGCCAACACCTTATACTCACTGAACCACTGTGGCTTATGACTTGTGATTGTATATAAATTTTTTGTACATATGATATTTTTTTATTTCAATCCTGTAATTTTGATGCTTTGCTTCTTTTATTTACAAAATATTCATTTTGTTTGGGTTTTTTTAATGAGGAAAAGGTTTTACATCATTTTATTACTCCTGCAAAATAGTGCATTTTTCTTTTGTTAGTTTTCTGTGTATATTAGTTATTTCTATATGTCTCACAAATCACTTGTAGTGTGATTTTGTAGCACTTTTCAGTTTTTGAAATTGTTTCAATTTAGTGCATAATTAATCTTAGTGCTTGGTTTGGATGTTATTAAATTTAGATATTATTTGAATTATATATTTTGGAGTATGGTGTAGGGATACTGTGTACATATCTTTATATTCTCAGTTCTTGTTTTGGGGTAAAGAACAATTTATATAGCTATTTTATATTTTGTGATAGGTAAAGTGTGTGGGGTTAAGAACAATTTAAATAGCTATGTTATATTTTGTGATGGGTAAAGTGGGGTGTGTGTGTGTGTGTGTGTGTGTGGGGGGGGGGGGTCATTATATATAACACAATATAATTAGTATTAGAATTCTCTGTTTTTTTGTTAACATTTCAAATATCTATTTAGTTTTGATGTATTAATTTACTTTTTCCTATGATTTTATGAATAAATAATAATCTTACAAAAACAAAAACAAATTTTGTTTCCTTCTTTTATCAAACTTTACAGGTCTAACAGAGCAAAGAGATGGGTCCTGCATAAAAAGGTTGCTATACTGTATATAAATTGGGGAAAAACTCAACACAAGTTTTTGTGGATGGTTATACACAAGTTTGTATGAAACCACACAAGTTTCAGAAATCTCAACACAAGTTTCAGAAATTTTAACACAAGTTTCAAAAATTTCAACACAAGTTTCAAAAATTTCAACACAAGTATTGTGTAGATTTTCACACAAGTTTCAACACAAGTTTGTGTTGTTTGATAAATTTTAACAAAAGTTTTGTGTTGTTTCAACACAAGTTTTTTTTCAGTGTAATATATCACTCTTTTTGCAAAATTGACATTTTTAATTGAAAATCATAACGTTTTTGCCTTAAAAATCCCTCACAAAATGCGATTTCAAAGCAAGTTTGAAAGTTGTAACCAAGGGACATAACTCTTGTATTAAACGAAATCGCTTGCTTGGAAATCTTTTAAAACAAAAATGAATTATTATATGAGTTGAAATAATGGTGGATTTTAGTACATTACAAATGACAATTTGGCATAAGAATGGTATATTATCAAAAAAAGACATAAAATATCATGAAATGAGCTGAAAATAGTGGTGGATTTGGTGGATTTAGGTAAATTGTGATTCCGGTTTTGTAAAAATAAACTGTTATGCTTACCTTCTGAAAATTCAAATTCCACTAAAATACCGTGCTTCAGTATAACAGGATCTTTTCTTAAAGGACCACCTCTAGATTTAGACTTATTTTCAAAATATAAACCAAATTTATGTAACGGAATATCTTTCAGTTCACCCTCAAGTAGGACGCAGTTATCTGGAAAAGGTGAAAAATGATATCTCAAGAAAAGGGAATTGTATCAGGTATTAGAGGCAGACATGACTGTTATTTAAAAAATCTAAAAAAATAAAACATTTACCAGGTAGATACAATTATGCAGGTACCAAAACCCTCCTGATCCTTCAATTATCAAAGTCTTTTGTTTCATTATTTTATATTTTAGGCATGGATGGAGAATTTGTACATTTAGGCACAACTAGTCAGTGAAAAATAGACTTACCACTTGTGTTGGTCTCTGTTTCGGCAGCTGCCATTTTTTTTTTTTTTTTTTTTTTGTTTTTTTACTTCTCTCTGGCACTTTAAATGAGTGTCTTTTCCCAGAACAGTAGTACTAAACCCTACTCTATTTCGAATTCCAACTATCACTGGTTCATCTACATGCACGCCAACACATACACTTGCCCTTTAAACATTGTAATGTTAAATAGATTGAGAAATGAAAAACATCCAAAATCATGAATTTTATATTTGTGTTTTATTTCTTCAAATTCTATTTTGCGATGGAGAATTCGCTTCGCTTTTGTGAGAATTTCATATCACCTCTATTCTTTATTAAATTAGAAATAAATTTCCTTTATAAAATTGGCAATAATTAAGATTATTTCCAATAATTAAGGTTATTTCAATCTCCATCCTTATCAAGGATGACCTTCCGGAGTTTTTAATGTGGATATAATTAAGGTTATTTCAATGTTGATCCTTATCAAAGGTGCCCTTCTGGAGCTTTAATTGTATGTTGCTTTTTATAATAGGCACTTTTATAATGATATAATGAATTTATATTTTGAGTTTCATCGCTCTCACTTCATTATAATCAAAGTTATCGTGCCCCAAAGCATAAACCAATCAGCTTGCTTATCTCTGCTTACCGTAAGCAGACAATGTTCATCATCGCACTTCATCAAGGCATTCACCTAATGAATGTCTACACCAAGTTTGAACATTCTACCTCAATTAGAAGGAGAGTTATTGTGTTCCAAAGTCTCGACCAATCAAATTGCTTATCATTATCGAACTTAGCCAAGGTATTGATGTAATAAAGCTATAGACCAAGTGTCCTCACTCTCACTAGATTAGAACTAAGGTTATCGTGTCCCAAAGAATCAACCAATCAAATTGCTCTTCTCTGCTTATCCTAAGCAGAAAATCCACATTATCGAACTTAGTCAAGGTATTGATGTAATGAAACCATACACCAAGTTTGATCACTGTCACTTAATTAGAACTAAAGTTATCGTGTCCCAAAGCATCAACCAACCAAATTGCTTATCTCTGCTTACCCTAAGCAGAAAATGTTCACCAAGTTATTGCCCTAATAAACACCTACACCAAGTTTTAACATTCTAGCTCAATTAGAAAGAGAGTTATTGTGTCCCAAAAAGTATGACGGACAGACGGACGGACGGACGGACAGACAGACGAACCCATTTTAATAGTCCCATGCTTTTTTCGAAAGAAGGAGGACAATTAGCTGTGGCAAATAGGTCAAATTTAACATGGCAAAAAAAATCACTGCGACAATTTCTATGAAAAGGTTGGAATGTAAAAGCAAAGGGTTGCCATGCAAGATACACCCATAATTTGCAAGAGGTAGACAGAGAACAGGTTTTTTTTTAAAAAAAAAGCAAGCTTTCGTAAAATCTGTGGCCACATTCCTGGACGTTAAGGTCCGATATGCGCGAATATCGAAAGGGATATAAACATATACATCAAATTCAGATAAAAATTCTGACCTCTAGAGGGTCCACACTCTTGGTATTACATACGTTTACACTATTGGCTTACAAGGAGCAGCTACTTTGTCAGGCAGTTTATTTCCAATTTTAATGAAATTCGAACTCAACCATCATCATGGTGTAAGGGTGACATGTTTAAACGATATATAAAATCGGATAAAAATTGTGACCTCCAAAGGATCCATCTGGGGCAAGTTATGGTCCGATGCGCGAATATCGAAAGGAACTGAGATCTTTAGGAGATAAACCTATGTATAAGTTTCGTCAAAACGGGGTAAATATTGTGATCTGTAGACCTACAGTTTCTACAAACAAATTATGGACCGACGGGCAGGGGGTACAACCATACATGCCCACATGAAAATGTGGGCGAAGGCGAATAAAAAAACAATATTATCAGTAACTTGATGCTACATTTATGTATCTTGCAGTTGAATATTGTTTAGTCAATCTTCAAAGAAGCACGTCAGTATTCATTTTATGGATCCATTTCAATTAAAACTGTTTAAGAAATATTACCAAATGTAATGGATTTTAACGCCTACTTTTCTGCATCGACTACACAAATGAAGATGGACACGTCGCTATGACCTGCTCTTATCTGGAATTCCAACCAACTGCCAAGGGATCTTTCACATGCGTGCCAATTCCAAGCAATTTAATAAACGTTATACTAACTTTATAAATCTACAAATATTCAAAGTAAAAAAGATTCAGTAGAAAATTGTCATAAAAATAACTTTAGATTTACGTCATATTTCGAACACTTAAGGTAACTATAACCATTCTAATGTGAAATTAATCAAAATTTATCACCATCAGACGCTAACCAAAATAGAGTAACTGTGACGTAAATTTAACGTCCTCTTGCAATCTGGTGTAGTACTTGACAGTAAAACCATACCACAATCAGCTGCTAACCTAAATATAATCAAAATGACATAACTGTGACATAAAATTAACATCAGCTTGCAATTTAGGGTAGCAGTGGTACTTGAGAGTAAATGTTACCACTACCTGATGCCAACAAAAATCTAACCAAAATGGCGTAACTATGACGTAAAATTAACATCAGCTTGCTATCTGGGGTAGCAATGTTACTGATATACAATATTCTAAATATATCAATTTTTCATTGTCTATTTTTGAACTATTATAGTAAGAACGACTCATCTCTACCAAAATGTTACAAAATGCATCTTTAAGTCTAATATAACTATCGAGTCCACAAATAATTCTTACGTGTGTGTTACTGTTGACTCGATCGGCTCTTTGAATTTGTGTAAATGTATGTCTGAATTCAACAAATCAATGACGAACATGACGATTATTATTTTTATAGAAGAATTTAACACAGATAAGCTAATATTCAATGAATTAGGTGAATAGAAGACATGTCTTTAAATGGCATTTGAAATAGACGTATCCTCTTATTATTAGCACACAGCATTCTTCCTTTCTGTCTCTCAGACAGAGCAAGCGCTCATGGTGAATGGCGAAATCTCAGACGCCATAGCTGTCACATCGGGAGTACCACAGGGTTCAGTCCTTGGCCCGAGTCTGTTCCTATTCTATATAAACGACCTACCAGAGGAAATAAAGTCGAATGTACGACTATTTGCCGACTTCACCATGGTTTATCTCACGATCACAAATGACGATGACGCCCAACGACTTCAAGAGGACTTGCTGAAACTAGCGACTTGGGAGAGGGCATGGGGGATGGTTTTTCACCCACAGAAATGTCAGGTCATCTCAATCACCAAGAATAGACGAAAAATCAGGTACCCCTATGTGCTACACGGCCATACATTACAATCTGTCGACTGTACCAAATACCTAGGATGTACCATTAGCTCAGATCTCTCCTGGAGCAATCACGCCGAGAGCATATGTAGCAAAGTCAGCAAGACCATAGGCTTCTTAAAAGGGAATCTCAACATCAGATCGCCAAAGATTAAAGAGAGAGCATATATGACCCCTGTGAGGCCCTCAGTTGAGTATGCCAGCGCAGCTTGGGATCCCAACCTACAGAATGACATCAAAAGAATCGATATGGACCAACGTCGAGCCGCAAGATATGTCGTCAACAACTACACACAAACAGCTAGTGTAATAGACATAATATGTCGTTTAGACACATGCACCCTCAAACTTTCCAAATTCCATCTACCAGGAATGACACCAAGAAATTATCCTTCTTCCCTAGAACAATAAGAGACTGGAATGCTTTACCACCAGACATTCCATCCTCCGACACCCTCGAGATCTTCAAGTCCAGGGTGTCTGGGGCTCTGTGAGCATCGACACCACGTCATATTTTATCCTGTTTTTAACTTTTCGCCCCGTTCTTAACCTTTCATCGTCATGCTGGCCATGCGCAACCCACGCCGTGTCAAAATGATCAACTATGATTGTGGACACTACCCAATCTGTTTCACAGAGAATTACGAGTCTCGTATAATATCTCTGTCATAGATGACTGCCTTAACACGTGCTGTCACAGCACGCGGTGAATCATTGGCTAAATGGCGCGTGCATTGTTTACATAAGACATAACTGCTTCGGAGAGAATGCTGCATTTTAGTCAATTTAATACCCATTTACACTAAATCGGAAATAATTTTTACCTACGAATACGTCAAACGCCTTTATTTATTTTTCCAATATATACAAAAAATGTTTTAGAATTTAATTTGTCGCAGGAAAAAAGTTAATATTTCTATCTCATTAAGCCGCATCAATGTCATCCTTATCAGCGATTGTCGCGGCCAAGCAAATATTCACTGCGGATCAGTGTGGACACTACCAGGTAGAAGTAGAAGTTTGAATTTTTCGCATAGTTCTAATCTTTACAGAAGAATAAAAAATACGCGGGAAAAACGAATCCCGATCATCAAGTCGCATTATCCCTTATTTTCTGGCGTTAGCAGTTCAAACTTTTTTGTTTTTGGAGAACTAAAGACACCGACCCAGTGGCAGTAGTATAGAAGCCTATATAACTACCATTCGTAATTTCTACTTTTCGCCCCTTCAAAACACGAAAATCGAAAAGTCGAAGTTACGACAAAATGTGAGGCGACAGCACGCTGTACAAGCCAAAATCGACTCGAAAATTAAGAAATAATAGGCTGAGATAATAGCGTCCCTCATTTTTTGCTAATTTCTTATTTTCGACTTGCATTTTGGCTTGTGTACCGTCTTGTTGACTTTCGAATTAGTCATATTATAGACTAATATAGTGGCAGTAGTATAGAAGCCTATATAACTATCATTCGTAATTTCTACTTTTCGCCCCTTCAAAACACGAAAATCGAAAAGTCGAAGTTACGACAAAATGTGAGGCGACAGCACGCTATACAAGCCAAAATCGACTCGAAAATTAAGAAATAATAGGCTGAGATAATAGCGTCCCTCATTTTTTACTAATTTCTTATTTTCGACTTGCATTTTGGCTTGTATACCGTCTTGTCGACTTTCGACTTAGTCATATTTTTGTATTTATTGATGTCAGTAAGAAGGCGCCAACACGCATACTAAGCTAAAATTCAACTCGAAAAGTAGAATTTAGGAAATTAAAACATCGCGCTATTTGCGACCTATCATTTTGACTTGCTGTCGTACTAGCGATTTTTCGAGTTTCGCCTCGGAAATTTTGTAGTCTCAATTTATCATGCATTTCTGTCTGACATTTGATTCAATTGATTTAGAAGTTGGGGATATGCACGCTGTAATAATAGACTTGCGAGAGTGCATGCAGTCGGTTATTCCAGAATTAACCAGCGGCTGTCAGGCAGGATACGCTCCATTTTGCAAGAGATGAATAAAGAACAAGCTAAACACAAACACGATATTTTGTACAATCAGGGGCAATAATCTAGAAATTGTGACCTCTAGAGCTAGAGTTCCACAACCTTCATATTACATACGTTTACACAATTTGCGTACAAAGAGCGGCCATTTTGTTGGGCAGTTTCATTTCAATTTTCCCGAAATTAAAATTTAACCTTCATTATGGTGGAATGGTGGTATATTTATACTGTTTTTAAAATCGGAAAAAAATTGTGACCTCTAGAGAATCCGCAAGCTAAAAATGCGATTTTTGGAAAAATCAGGGGCCATAATCAAGGGCCCTTATTCACGAAAACTTAAACTAAGAAATACTGCAACTTCATTGGATATATGCAAATTGATTTTACTGGTCAGCCAATCGAATTGCAGTATTTCTTAAAATTTCGATTGTATCTTAGTTTAAGTTTTCGTGAATAAGGGCCCAGGAAGTTACGTTCGGATATGCGCGATTATCAAAAGGAACCAAAATCGTAGTGTGTAACGGTGATATATTCAAACGTTTTTGTTAAATCGAATACAAAGGGACCACAAGCTAAAAACGCGAGTTTTTTTTTTGCAATCAGGTGCAACCATTCAGGAAGTTACGATCCGATATGCGCGAATATCAAAAGGAACCAAAATCTTTGGGTTACAAATAGTGATGTGGGGATTTCGGTTTAACCGTACGGTATCGGTTTTTACATATAAACCGAAAACCGAACCGATAAAACAAAAAAAATAACCATGCGTTTCGGTTTATTTTTTCAAAATTCCTAATTTTTAATTTACCTGTTTTTCGTTTCGGAAATGTTTGAAAAATTTCTAATTTTTATGTAGCCGCACTTAGTTTACTTAATAATTCCAAAATTTTAATGTAGCCACCACTTCCGTTTTTATTTTCGATCAACCAAAACCCCTATGTATAGAGTGTTTAATAAGTCTGGATGGCCTAGACTATTTATTTTCTCAATTCGGTTCGGTTTATAATCCAAACTTTTATGCAAGCCTAAGCCGGTTGTCAATAACGCACGATGACTTCCCCTAAAAGTAAAATGTCTCCATGGCTTGCTCACTATGGAAGATTAGATGACACAAAATGTAGATGTAATCTTTGTAAAAAACATATTTCTGCTGCGTCTTTTCTTTTTACAGTAACTTTATTGTTATTGGTAATATGTCATTATATTAATTAATTATTATGGTGTTGTGTTTCACAAAGTTTGTCAGATCTTTTTTTTTACAGTAACTTTGTTTTTACTAGTCAAAATTAAAGTCATATATCAGTAAAAAAAACTTGTTGTTTAAAATTTACATCAATATGTTTGATATCTTTTCTAGCTTCCAAGTATTCCTATAAAATAACCATAAATCAGCACATTCATAATACAGTGTTTAAATGAATAAAAAAAAAAGCGAAACCGAAACCGAGGTTTTTTGCCACAGAAAAACCGAAACCGAAAGAAAATTTAAAAACCGCACATCACTAGTTATGAACATGCATTCCAAGTTTCATCAAAATTGGATGAAAATTGTGACCAATAGCCTGTCCACAAGCTAAAAACGTGATTTTTCGTACCATAAGGGGCCATAATCCATAAAGTTATGGTCCATTACATGCCCCTTCAAAACACGAAAATCGAAAACTCGAAGTTACGACAAAATGTGAGGCGACAGCACGCTATACAAGCCAAAATCGACTCGAAAATTAAGAAATAATAGGCTGAGATAATAGCGTCCCTCATTTTTTACTAATTTCTTATTTTCGACTTGCATTTTGGCTTGTATACCGTCTTGTCGACTTTCGACTTAGTCATATTTTTGTATTTATTGATGTCAGTAAGAAGGCGCCAACACGCATACTAAGCTAAAATTCAACTCGAAAAGTAGAATTTAGGAAATTAAAACATCGCGCTATTTGCGACCTATCATTTTGACTTGCTGTCGTACTAGCGATTTTTCGAGTTTCGCCTCGGAAATTTTGTAGTCTCAATTTATCATGCATTTCTGTCTGACATTTGATTCAATTGATTTAGAAGTTGGGGATATGCACACTGTAATAATAGACTTGCGAGAGTGCATGCAGTCGGTTATTCCAGAATTAACCAGCGGCTGTCAGGCAGGATACGCTCCATTTTGCAAGAGATGAATAAAGAACAAGCTAAACACAAACACGATATTTTGTACAATCAGGGGCAATAATCTAGAAATTGTGACCTCTAGAGCTAGAGTTCCACAACCTTCATATTACATACGTTTACACAATTTGCGTACAAAGAGCGGCCATTTTGTTGGGCAGTTTCATTTCAATTTTCCCGAAATTAAAATTTAACCTTCATTATGGTGGAATGGTGGTATATTTATACTGTTTTTAAAATCGGAAAAAAATTGTGACCTCTAGAGAATCCGCAAGCTAAAAATGCGATTTTTGGAACAATCAGGGGCCATAATCAAGGGCCCTTATTCACGAAAACTTAAACTAAGAAATACTGCAACTTCATTGGATATATGCAAATTGATTTTACTGGTCAGCCAATCGAATTGCAGTATTTCTTAAAATTTCGATTGTATCTTAGTTTAAGTTTTCGTGAATAAGGGCCCAGGAAGTTACGTTCGGATATGCGCGATTATCAAAAGGAACCAAAATCGTAGTGTGTAACGGTGATATATTCAAACGTTTTTTTTAAATCGAATACAAAGGGACCACAAGCTAAAAACGCGAGTTTTTTTTTTGCAATCAGGTTCAACCATCCAGGAAGTTACGATCCGATATGCGCGAATATCAAAAGGAACCAAAATCTTTGGGTTACAAATAGTGATGTGGGGATTTCGGTTTAACCGTACGGTATCGGTTTTTACATATAAACCGAAAACCGAACCGATAAAACAAAAAAAATAACCATGCGTTTCGGTTTATTTTTTCAAAATTCCTAATTTTTAATTTACCTGTTTTTCTTTTCGGAAACGTTTGAAAAATTTCTAATTTTTATGTAGCCGTACTTAGTTTACTTAATAATTCCAAAATTTTAATGTAGCCACCACTTCCGTTTTTATTTTCGATCAACCAAAACCCCTATGTATAGAGTGTTTAATAAGTCTGGATGGCCTAGACTATTTATTTTCTCAATTCGGTTCGGTTTATAATCCAAACTTTTATGCAAGCCTAAGCCGGTTGTCAATAACGCACGATGACTTCCCCTAAAAGTAAAATGTCTCCATGGCTTGCTCACTATTGAAGATTAGATGACACAAAATGTAGATGTAATCTTTGTAAAAAACATATTTCTGCTGCGTCTTTTTTTTTACAGTAAATTTTTGTTATTGGTAATATGTCATTATATTAATTAATTATTATGGTGTTGTGTTTCACAAAGTTTGTCAGATCTTTTTTTTTACAGTAACTTTGTTTTTACTAGTCAAAATTAAAGTCATATATCAGTAAAAAAAACTTGTTGTTTAAAATTTACATCAATATGTTTGATATCTTTTCTAGCTTCCAAGTATTCCTATAAAATAACCATAAATCAGCACATTCATAATACAGTGTTTAAATGAATAAAAAAAAAAAGCGAAACCGAAACCGAGGTTTTTTGCCACAGAAAAACCGAAACCGAAAGAAAATTTAAAAACCGCACATCACTAGTTATGAACATGCATTCCAAGTTTCATCAAAATTGGATGAAAATTGTGACCTCTAGCCTGTCCACAAGCTAAAAACGTGATTTTTCGTACCATAAGGGGCCATAATCCATAAAGTTATGGTCCATTACATGCCAATATCTAAAGGAACCGAGAACTTTGGGAGATACACCTATATTGTAAATTTCGTCAAAATCGGATACAAATTGTCACCTGTCCACAAACAGGCGTATAAAAGGGGAATTCGCGAATTTCTCTCCGAATTATAAATTGTATTTGTAAGCACAAGTAATTCAAGTACACATTATCGATAACCGACATTGTACGAGCTTTCGTTCCAATCGCTATTTCATAGAATCCACAATATATATCCAATTATTGTAAATTGCAGCCACTGACTCCACAATTTGTAAGTAAGCTAATTAATTTGACCTAATGCAATTGCTGAATAATTTCAGGGAAAAGGTTGGAGCAGATTTCTCTTGCGGATTTCATGCTGCGCCAACTAGAAAAAGTGAAAATATTGTGTATCAGGGTCACAATTTTCATTTGATTTTGATGAAACTTAAAATGCATGTTTATAACCCAAATATCTTGGTTCCTGTCGATTTTCGTACATATCGAATCGTAACTTCCTAAATTATGGCCCTTGATTGTACGAGGTCACAATTTTTTTCCGATTTTAAAAACCGTTTAAATACATCACCATTCCACCTTAATGAAGGTTAAATCCGAATTTCGGGAAAATCGAAATGAAACTGCCCGACAAAATGGCCGCTCTTTGTACGCAAATTGTGCAGAAGTGTGTAATACGAAGGTTGTAGACCCTCTAGAGGTCACAATTTTTATCCGATTTTGATGAAACTTAAAACATATCTTTATAACCCAAAGATCTCAGTCCCGTTTGATATTTGCACATTTCAGGCCATATCTTTCTGGATTATTGCCCCTGATTGTACAAAAAATAGCATTTGTTTTTAGCTTGTTCTCTATCCATCTCTTGGAAAATGTGGGCGTGTCCTGCGTGGCAGCCGCTGGTTTGTTTTGGAATGAATAAAGATAGTTTGCCAGGCAACGAAACCTATGTCGTTGGCAGTGTCCACAAAAGTAGCCGCATATAGTTTCGTTTGTCTCTTGACCTTAACACGGCGTATATATTTAAACGCAATCGGATATTAACTCTAGCCTCGAAAGCGTCCACAGGCGGCAGTAGTGACGTACAATGCGAGACTGTTATTTGGAAGATAATAACCCTCCGACAATTAAAAAATTTGGACAGCCCACGTATTTTGTTAAAAATGAATGTAAATCAGTTTATCTACACTCTTATTACATTAATATGTGCTATTTGACCCAAATCTACCAATCTCGCCAACAACATACGATTCCACATGGGAATGACACAATTAAGTGATTTGCAGATTTATGGTGGCTTCAACATTCCTTATCTATACTAATATTTGTCGTTTGTTTGTCTGCCTGCCTGTCTGTCTATCTGTCTGTTCAGGGTTGGCTGCTACACTAGAACTGTCCCGAATTAACTTTGGTGTATTGGGGTAATAACATAGGTCTGGTGGCGATGGCCTACCACTTCCGGTTTCGGAGTTATGACCCCCCGGGCGAGTTTCGACCCCGAGCGAAGCCAGGCATTCTTCTAGTCAAAGGCGTACGAGCCAGGGGGCCGGGGGGGGGGGCACCTGCCCCCCTAACTTTCGGGCAAGCTGACTTTTCGGGCAGACGGGTAAAGAGAAAAAAAAAATTTATTTCATCTACTTGGCAAAATAAAGTGCCCGAAATCTAATAAAACACTAATTTTAAGGGCTGGAATAGCAGTAAAACGCGTTTGCGGCCGTCAAATATTCCAAAATTTTCTTGAGCGGTCCATACAAGGTCAGCTCCGCTTTTTCGTCTTTCGAAGAAAACCTTCGCCGCTGTCTGTAAACCTAAAATTTTCGGGGATTTCTAATTTTGCTTCCCTAACTGTCATAGAGCCCTAAAAAAACACTAATTTTACTTTTCTTTTAATTGAATACCACGAATTTGTACTGAGTTGACTATGGATTAAAACATTTTGTCTGGAGCCACTCTAATTTGTGCGACATTTTTCGGGCATCGATTATTATTTGTGAATGCAGCTGAAACAGTCTGATTGGGTGGTTGGAATTCAGAGTGCGATTTCGATTACAAAAACATTGGATACTTTTGGAGTTGCTTACACGGGCTAGAATAGCAGAAAACGCATTTGCGGTGGTTAAATTTTCGAAATTTTCTCCGGAAGGATGGGTGGGGCCATTGGTTGTTTGGAATTCGGGCCAGCCAGGTAGGCTATATTGGACCAAATTGAAGCTGCTGTATTCACAGGCTGGAATAGCAGTTAAATTTTCAAAATTTTCTCCCAACAATCCCGTCTCCGTGGACTGTGAACGATTGATTGGAATTCGAGTCAGCCACCTTAATTAGGCTATATTATTAGACCACTTTGAAGTTGCTTTGTTCACGGGCTGAAATACCAGGAAAACGTGTTTGCAGCCGTCAAATATTCCAAATTTTTCTTGCGGGGGGGGGGGGGGGTCCATGCAAGGTAAGCTTCGTTTCTTCGCCTCTCGAGGAAGACCGGCGCCGCAGTCTGTAAACCCGAAATTTTTCGGCCATTTCGGGTTCTGCCCCCCTACGTGTCATCGGGCCCGTACGCCTATGCTTCTAGTAATACATATTTTCAGTGTTATTGGGCAAAATATTATACCTAATATGATTGATTATTCTTCAACCTTTTTTATATGAAGCTCTAGTTTCACAGTATTTAAATAAAAATATTCAAACAAAAACCCTTTTTATGGTTTGGGTCTTAGAATAGATTACCGCTTGTTTCCGACTGCTTTGGTGCGACGTGTTTACACAAGGGTTAACAGATGACGCACAATTGGCACACGAACAGTTCTAATATATATGAAGATATAAATATACCATAAAATATACCAAAACCTCCTACTGTGTTAACTTATAAATACATACCATTACTAATCGCCATTCAGGAAATATTTCCGTGTAGGCCCTAGCTGTAACACCCATCATAACATTCAGTCTTAAACTAATCAAATATTTAAAAGCTTCTTTATTTTAGCTATATTATCGTACTGTACAATTTACTTACCTAAGTTCTAAATAATATTCTTATTTTCGGATAATGTTCGTTTAATATATCTTCGAGAATTATGTTGTCACTGAAAGATTCGTCTTAATGTAATGTCAATGTGACATTGTGTAAACTAGCTAGCGCAGGCTATCGATATTATAACGGTCAGGTATACACATCTAGTTTCGTTTTATATTTCATTAAGGAAGTTTTTGTTACATTGGCTGTGACATTGTGTGTAGTCTATTAGTCTATATCTAACGGTGACGTACACATCTAGTTTCGGTTTAGATTTCCATAAGGAAGATATTGTCAGCCATTATGAAAACTGTGTGAATTATTTCTTCAACAACACAGGTAACATATTTTAACTAATTCTGTTTTAAAATCACAAGAAAAACTGCAATGAATTAACTGTGTCTTTCCTCTACATTATAAAGAAAGGGAATTTCTCGTTCAAAATAATTTTGGAAACTCATAATAGTGGCATAAGCAGGGCCATCTACTTGCCAAACTTGGATTTTGTTTATCTGATATATAAATGTGGCACCGGCCCTGTGTACATCAGAGGTGGAATCTCGAGTGAGAATTTCAGCTCGACTTAAATTTTTATAGTCTGGTGGTTCAAGGGGGTGGGGGTGCAATCACCAACCGTGGGGAGAATTTTTGAGACCAAGTTTTACTAGAGCAGTTTTTTGCGTTGATTTCTATTCTGGGTGGCGCCCATGTATAGGAGAGAGCTTTTACGCGATACGGGGTTGAGGATTGGGGTGATGTGGGTCCAATGTCTTCAATTGGGTGAAATGTTGATGATCGTTTTATAGCACTCTACTCTTAGATAAGAATATAAGACCCTCCTGGATGACGGTTTTGGTTTGTGTGCGGGCCCGGGGAAGAAAGGGGCTGTAGACGGAAAATGTAAAATAGATTATAGATTAGTAAAACATTAATTTATAGCACTGCACATTATAAAGTGTATATAATTCCTTTTTTTTTGCTTTATGCAGGTTTGGTGGGATCACGGAGGTGGGGGTGGGGGCGATGCCTAAAATGGCGGTGAAGTCGATTAGTAGGAAACATTCATTTCTTGCACTAAATACTTCTATAAGATGTCCATATGGGCGTTGTATTTTGGACCCCAATACCCCCCTTCCTCATCCTTTAAAGAATTCCTGGTCAGTTTGACCCATTGCATCCTATCTGCAAAGCAAAAACAACACCCAATTATTTAGTGCAAGAAATGAATGTTTTCTACTAATCATTTTTGATATCGACTTTACCGCCATTTTTAGGCATTGCCCCCCCCCCCCGCCACATACTCACTTCTTTCCCCACCAAACCCGCACAAAGAAAAACAAAAGGTATTATATATACTTTAGACACGTGGCAGTGCTATAAATTAATGTTTTACTAATCTATAATCTATTTTACATTTTCCACACCTACAGCCCCCTCCTTCCCCGGGCCCGCACACAAATCAAAACCGTCATGCAGGAGGGTCTTATATTCTTATTTAGAGTAGAGTGCTATAAAACGATCATCAATGGAAGACATTGGAAGACATTGCACCCACCCCATCCTAATCCCCACCACCCAGAATAGAAATCTATGCAAAAAAAAACTGCTCTAGTAAAACCTGGTCTCAAAAATTGCTCTCTCGGGTGGCGATTCCGCCCACACCCCCTCGTGTCACAGGACATTAAAAAAATTAAGTCGAGTTGCAAGTCAGGTCTGTGATGTGACTCTAGCCGGACTCGAGATTCCACCTCTGATATCCACAGGGCCGATGCTACAATTATATATTAGATCAAGAACATCCAAGTTTGGCAAGGCATCCCGTAAATATCGGGCCAAAATATATATAGACGAAACAAAAACATATAAGAGATAAAACTCTTAATACTTTGTGAATGTTTATGAAATGAAATGAAATGAAAAGGGGGTTTAACGTCCTACTCTTTTGATCCGAACTGGGCTAATGAAGACGGGCATACGCCATACAGTGTGCTATGAGGGAAATTTTGCCCGGACAGCGGCACTATGGCCTACTCTTATATCGAATTCCAACTGTCAAGTGGTCTGTTACGTGCACGCCAATGTGTACACGGGACCTCGGTTTTTCGTCTCATACGAATGACTAGACAGCTGTCCTTGTTAGGCCGTCCGTCCTGGATCACTGACAAGGGAGAACCATGCCGGAAAATCTGGGTGAACTTTCTCGGCCAATGCAGGGATCGAACACCCGACCTCTGAATGTTTATGAGTTATATCTTCAAATTAGTATACTGTTAACTCAATTCCATTTAAACTGTCACAAAACATTTTACTTCTCGATATAAACCTGTTAATACTTCCTTACTACTAATTTTTAAGCCAAAATATGTGTTCAAAAACAAACAATTATAATTTGCATATTTTTTTAAAAAATCGACAAACAAAATATTTTTTGTTAGTTCCCTACAAATATTTAAAGATTACGTTATGGGAGATTAGATAAAGAGCTGACAATCGATCCATAATGAACCGAGAATTAAGCGAATGAAATTTGGGCCTAGTCTAGATCATCATTACTAAAGTCGGTACGATAAAAAACATAATCTCGATTATCCATTTCATGATTAAATCATGAATGAAAGTTGAGCAGCAAATCGGATCATAATTCAATAAATATCGCAGGCTAGCGTTGACATCGAGAGTTGATTATGGTCTGGATAAGTTAATTATTGTCTAATTAATATTTTAGATAACATTTCAGGCCTAAAGAAGGGCCTGCAATAGGCAGATTTAGCTCTTGCATAATGTATGTTTAAATACTGTTCCACTACTAGCTAGTTAGGCAATATATTTATCTTTTGAATTAGGGGCATCATTTGAGAGGTCATATTGAATAATTTTGATCCAATTAATAATAAAAAAATCAGGTTTTCTAGAAAATGGTTGAGAAATTTGAGTAACTACATCATGATATTAAAGCGTTGATGATAAACTGCTGATTTCCCCAGTTAAACTATTAAACATAGCACTCGTGTCAGGATTAAACGTAGACATGGTAGGATCAGAAAAAGACTTAGGGCCTACTTTTTGATCGTCTAGTGGATAACTTGACTTCTACGTTGTTCTGGTCAGACGGCACCAATTAATATGTTACAGTATTCGTTCTTTAAACCGGGTTCTTGACGACATCTCTGGATTAACTTCATATAAGTTTAAAGATACATTATGGGAGATAAGATAAAGAGCTGGCAGTTCTCACTATAATACATGTAGTTATAAACTACACTCAAAGCCATTAAAAACGCAATGCCAAATTCAAATTTATTTACAGCAGCAACGTTTAACAAATGTACATAACAATTGACAAAATCGAGATAACAAGCATCTGTGGATAATTTCATGAAAGAATTGACTAAAATGCACAAACCGAAACGACAGAGAACCATGAAACAAAGCAGGGGTCAGCTAAAGTCAATATCGGGTATGTCCACCCTTAGCTACGAGAACGTAGCTAAAAAAACGTTGAGATATGCTGATGTGCTTGTTTTTAGCTACGATTGGGTGCCTTTAGTTCCAAGTGGCAAACTCAGTTTCTTTATTAATGCATGTAACATCTTTAAAATAAGATAATTTTATACTATTATGACTAATTAAACTTACAGAGGCCAATGTAAGGATGGCGCTCTTAGTAACGGCCTAACGCCTGGATTTTAAATACGATGATTTATATCCGTTTCAGGTAGGATTATATGCTTAATTGTAGTTGGGTGTGGCAGAAGTATTATAAATAACAATAATCAATCGTTGTTTTGATGAAAAATTATTGTCAATTTTTCTTACTGAGGCCCGATGCGATTCGCGTACGCCTTGCTACGTTGAACTATATAGAACCACCTCTTATCTCGAAATACGGGGGGTTGAGAGATGAGGTATGTTATCTAGTCCACCCTGAGCTCTTACGCATGCCCGAAGTCGCCTTGGCATGGACTGGCACAAATGTATCACTACACGCTGTGGGATTGTTTGCCAATGATTTTGGAGTGCCTGTGCCAACTCCAGGGGCGTACATAACGATTTTGTTTGGGGGGGTGTTTAGCCAAAATGCGACCGACTGATGCCCATATCCCTAGTACGAGTGACGCAGTCAGGAGCCGAGCACCACAGGTGCGAGTTTTGTAGGGGCCATGTGCAGTAGCGGATCTAGATAGGGGTGGGGGTCCAAATCTAGGGCGCAACCCCAGCCACAATTCCACCCCACAATGAATGTCAACAAAATACTGGCTATATAACATTAAGCGTCCCGGTAGAACATAGATGGTATTGTATAATCATATAGTTGTTTGGCGATCTTTGTCTCGCTGGAAAGCAGTTTTATTTAAGTTGACATAAAGTTTATGTCATATATGATTGTGCCTATAATACTGAGCAACCTGAGAAAATTTTGAAAAATTGAGTCAATATCTTGGCATTTGAGGTCATTGCTGGGAGAAATTCTTGTGGACGACAGGACCAGAAATGTGAGTCAATTAGACAAAATCTCGAGATCTGCCCCTGTCAATTCCGCCTGTTTTGTAAGAGTTGACAGAACTTTTGTATAGTCTGACGCCCACGACCCACACACCAGTGCCAGTGGTACTACTAACATAACTAGGCAGTTCAGTATAACCGTGAATACGATAGTGCTGAGACAGTATAAGACAACAGAGGAGTGGAAGAATGATGTTATAATGGAATCGAGCGCCGCAGGCGCGAAAAAATTTCAGATGTGTAACCGAGCTTTTAATTTTTGGGACTGGGCCTGACAATTTTAGTCAATGTCATGGCAAATGAATCCAAATTCTCGTTAACGAGAAGATAAGAAATGGGACAGAATCTTGAGGCCTATCTGTCAATGTCGCCTGTTTTGTGAGAGTAGAACTAACAATTCTACAGCCTTTTGACCCACGACTCACTCACTAGTGGTACTACTAACTGGGCGATTCACTGCAACTGTGAATATGATAGTGATGAGATAGTATAAGACAGAGTAGGAGTTGAAGAATGATGGCATAATGGAATTGTGCTTTTAATTTTTGAGGACTGGGCCTTAGGGCACTTTACCTCAATGGGGCGCTTACTTGGTCTCTGAAATTCCCTGGACTTTGGGGAGAGATTTTTCAGAATTCTGATGGTCAGAAAACACCCCATTAATTCATTTAGTCTGAGACCGACTGCGGTGATCACTTTTTTTTGAGACCGACTATTTTTTTGCCATGGTGTGAAAAACTAAAGTTTTGTGTGAGTAGAGTGACGTGTGCAGTGAGAACTTATTTTGATACCGACTGCTCATATCTTACGACCGACTGCACTGATTTTGCGACCGA